TTCACCAGCAGATATAAAATGTTCTAGAAAAGTCCACCCTGTACAGTACATACTCTTGGCCAATCCTGTTTAACAAAAATTCAGTGGCGTTTCATTTTCTTTTGAAGTAGACACTGTCCCCCATACCAAAATGTCCTACATGAGAAAACTTAATCTGAGGTATTACCATATACTATGTTTATTACGAAGTACTGATGGGGTGGTCATAATAATCTGGCCACTCAGTGTATATTGTATGACTTGTATTATGTTGTCCTTTCTCTTCTCTTTATTATATGTTCTAATAAGACAGCTCAACAGAAGCTGCTTATGTGTCAACGGTTTCTCTCTGATACCTGAAAGATAGCCATCTATAGCAGATAGCCATCAATAGCCATTAATAACTGCATTAGCTTGTAAGTAACATAGTTAAAGCAGACCGCACATCATGCAACATACATACATGTAGTTACTATATACATATAGAACAAAAGCACAGTCAATTAGAGTCACTGTCCTGGCACTGGTTGAAGAAGTCAGGCAGTTTTAATAAAATGTTTGCAGTCTCTGTTTTAATGGGTTTGGCTTTTCTTATGGGATCTCCAGAAAACTAATTGAAAACTGCAGCAAACAACCAATCTCCATCTGTACTTGCCAATAGGGATGGGATCTGGTTAGGGCATGCAAAATGTCTAATCTAAATACTAATTATGGCTTTAGGCTGGCTCATATTATACATAATCTGCAAAACATTTGTATGACTGGTGTATGGGCAATGCCCAACTTTTAGGGCTTTCACAAATCTCTAGAGATATTGAATGGCTGGAATGCTTAGCAGTTTGTAGGAGGACAACATTGCACTTGTTTGCAATCCTTGTATAATGCCTGCTATTATCCCCTGCACAGTGATGCAAAAAAATAACTTCTCATGGGCCATGCTTCTGCAACCACAGCAGATAAGCTCTTTTTCGAAGTCAAATTTTGCCAAGGACTGAAAATGCTCTCCAATTTGACTTTAGCTTTTGTAAAGTAAACTGGGACTCAAACTAAAGAGTTTAAAAAATATGTATTTTTAGTGGGTCCAGAGTGCTACAATGTCCACCTCTAGTGCAAAGAAATAAAGCAAACAAAGAAAAAAAGAAAAGTAGAGCAAGAGAAAATGAAGATGATGTATACAAGGTCATAAAAAAAATCTAAGGTAAAAATCACAAGAAAAAAAGGAAACTAAAAATTATTTTTTTATAAATATTAAAAGATTTTTTCTAATTTTTTTCTAGTGGAAAGGTGTCATCACTGAATCAGATTTCGATTAACAACTATTTTGTTAACGCTAACAGTTATTATATAGATGTATGTTTGCTTACATGGCTTTGTACATATAAAATTGTAAACAGGATATATTCATACATGGATGGATTAGGAAAGTGGAAGAACAGCCTGTTTTGAAATTATAAATTTTTGTGTTTTACGGATGAGTACAGACTGTAGTCTGGCCATTGATGGAAGTGTATGTAAATCCGAACAATAAAACTCTCTATTATTGGTTCTGTGTTTGTTCCCTTTGGTCTGTCAAATATACTATCAAAAGCGTTTGGTCATCTTGATAAATGCAAAAAACACTTGTTGATTTTACCAGAAATCTTGTCAGCTTATAACTTCCTGTTCTCTCAGCCTGTGCTGACTCTTATCAGCTACATTGTTCTCATCTATCTCTAAGGACTACAGAACCACTCCTCTCTATGTTATGGACAATGGAAGCGGCAGAGTCATTTAGACCTCTCCTGTTTTTGCAGCCTAAAACAGTGGGGTGTGAGCATTGTCATCCTAGGACTGGAAGTGTGTTGCTGGCAGAATTACCAAGTTAAAATTAAGAAAAAAAACTTGCAAAAAGAAATCTAATGCCGCAACCTCATCTAAGGAATTAGGAGCTTCAAAATATTATATTATATTTTTCCTTGAATGGTAGGTTAAAAAATTGTTAATTCAGAACAGTGTTTTAATTACATGTAAACCCAACCAATAAAATCCTATATATCTTTTGAAATGTTCATTATTTTTAGTACATTTTTAGAGGCCAAATGTTGTTCAATCTAGAAATGCATATACTGGTTCCCCTGGGCTCTCTTTACATTATTCTACATCCAAAAAAAAAAACATTTTATGTTGTTTAGTGCCTTGAAAATGGGCCTAAAGTAGAAGCCATGTGATCCAACCCCCCATCTTCCATTCTGTCTCACAGCTTGAACTGTGGATGGAGGAATTCAGCAATGGCCACATGCAAAATAGTGATTGTGTGTGTGTGCCACCCTCGGCAAAGCTCTGCAAGTACGCCGAGTCCGACATGTGATCGTGGTGACCCTGCTCACAAACAGAGCAGATTTGGTCTGGGACATGGTTACATGAATCACATAGCCTAGAGGACTACAAGAGGCAGGTCCTCAATGTCCAGGAGAAGGAAGTAGTTGAAAGACACTAGGCGTCACTCAACCCAGCAAGAAGGTGGAGACACTGAAAAGATGGCAACCTTTCAGATTGATCTGCATGAAAACTAAGGTAAGTATACCACAGAATACATCTTTTTGATCATCAGTATGACAAATGGGATTCATTGGCTAATAATTACCAAGGTTCAAGTTGGGCTTTATTTTTTCAAATGTTCAGCTTTCAAAAAATAATACTTGGTAATCCTGCAGTTAATGTCCTTATTTAGAACACTTCCTGTTGTCAGGTGTCAACACTTTGTCCCAGTCTGCTAATTGTTATCCTGCATTGCCAGCTTTTCATATGCACTTTTGTTAGAGACCATAAAGCAAATTTCCCAGGCATGTCCCACCATTGCCAACATTGGAAAAGCCTGCCCTAAACAAATGTCATGCAGCCACCACTGGAGTGCATGCATGTAGACAGGAAGTGGCTGCAGGGGATCAGAAGCACTGAAATGCCAAAAAGGAGGGTAAAAATAAAATCAAGACGTTTTTAAAAAATCGAACATGGCAATTTTTATGATACACAGTTGTTAAAAAAAAACCTAAGGGCCATATTTATAAATCATACCCTGTAATTTAAAGTGACACTAAACTAAGGAGTTTAATTTTAAAAATGCTTTAGAATACCTTAACTATCAACAAAAACATTTACTTTATTTGGGTATCACTCAACTGTAGATCCTCAAAACATCTCTGAATTGGTGCTGACACTGTCCTTCCTTCTGGAGGGTGGCTACATTTGTTCCCCATGATCCCTGTGTGTGTTGTAAAGTAGTCACCACTCCAAGCTCACTCCTGTGATGGACTAAAATCTCACGTTTAGTTTACTTAGTTGTATTGAAATTATAGTCCATCACAGGAGCAAGCTTTGAGCGGTAGTTACTGTACAACACACACAGGGATATTAGGGAACAAAAGTAGCCACCCTCCAGAAGGAAGGACAGTGTCGGCACCAATTCAGAGATGATTTGAGGTTCTATAGTTGAGCGATACCATGGAGTCTGTTTAAACAGCCCCGATGCTGGCGACGTACACTGTACGTCGTCAGTCACGAAGGGGTTAAAGATGTAATTCCTGAGTTTAGTGTCCCTTTAAGATTCCCCTGCAGCGAATATTTGGTGAATGCCACATTCACTGCTGCATAAACATTCTCCAATATATCATCCATTTAGGGTTTACATTTACTTTAAGTGTAAGTGCCATTAGATACGGCCTTAAGAAGCTGTTGGTTATAAACATATTTTAAACAAGAACTTCAGCTTCACTTTTGTTTAAATTTTTCTGCTACCCATTCCTACAGGACTAGTTACCCAATGTTCTTTTGTTTTGTAGTCTCCTCAAGAACTTTCTATTTAGCGCTATGGCACCATGTTACTTTTGGTTGGGTTGACGGACTGATTCATCTATACACTTCCCCTTCAACCAGACTGTCTGTGACAGGGCTACAGTGGAAGGCCTTACGTTATATGTGGGCATTGCTAGTACAGGTCTAGTTGTCATGTATTTTCTCTTATAAACAAATATGAAGCTGTGGCCCACAATCTCACCCAGACTGGTTAGCAAAACCAGTGTGCCATCCCCGAGTTTGTGGTTGCATGTTTAGGAAAGGGCACTAGATACGACAAGAGCAATTTAGTGCATCCTGAGGACTCCTTTCACAAGCCCAACATGTACTGGACCTGGATATCAAAGCAATGCAAACCTACATGAGGTTATTAAAAACGTCTTGTTGCTATTCAGTAAGTTCTTACTGGGTGACTATTTCATCTATACTGTATATTGTGGTATGCATACACTTTAAGTGCGTCACTGCAATACTCTTAATACCTAATTTTCTAAGTAAAAAAAAAAATCAAGCATAGCGCACCAACTCAAGGTATTAGTATTATTTGTCTGTGACTTTCCTTTTTATAAGGGTTCTTTTAAAACCTAAGCAATGTACAGTGACTAGACTGTAGTCCAAAACTCCCTCTGAGCCTTCCCGACAGTCATCTCATTATCAGAAAGTTTCGTAATGAATGCTTTAGAGCAAAATAAATCCATATTTTATGGGTTTACTGAAATTAAATAGAGAGCTCATTGCTTTCGAGAAGCAGAAACATTTATCTTCTACATTAAAAATAGTATGCAAAGGGGAATTTGAAATGCACCAGATTTTATGAATAGGAGCGAAAAATAAAGTGAGACAATTAGAAAAATATTATGTAATTTATAATACTTTCTTTTTCTTAATGGTGTATGCTTACAAGATCATCTCAGAACACCCTTGCAGGAATCTACCACACAGATGGCCGTGCAAGAGCTGGATCTTGCGACGTCACAAAGTTGGAAGATGGATGAGAAGAAGCACGATACGACACAAAAAGAGGAAAATAAATCACTTGAAGAAAAAATGATCAAAAGAGGAAAGGAAGGATCCACATCATAATATCAATATGAACAAAAGATGTCGGAATGAAAAAAGAATTTAAGAAAAAATAAAAAAATGGGGTTAATAAAGTGAGGCAACACTTCAAATCAAGTAAGCGAACGTACCATTAGTCGGATGCTTTGCAAACGACACAGAAAATCGTTTTACAGCTGGCATAGACAACAGTTCTGGAGAAATAAAAGAAAACAGGCATTGGCATTAACATCCTGGCTTTGGCCACCAAGACAAGCACATATACACACCAAAAGGATCCTGGGACAACAAACAGCAACTTGTGTTAAAGCCAAAACATCATCCATTTTCTTTGTGGTTATTATCAGAAGCCACATACAGTAGAAAAGCAGTTTAAAAAATTGATCAGTTTATAACGTTACGCTTCTCATGCATAGGTTATCCATCCAAAAATTTTACTGTGTGTTCTAAGATACCAAAATCATGGTTCAGGTTCAGCTGTGAACTACAGAAAAGAATTAGAAATGAGAATCGGTTAAAGAAAGACTAATGTGACAATGATGATTATACCAAATTGTTGGCAAAAAGTATGAAAAGTGGTCTGAAAAGCATTGCATATAGCAGTCAAAGGCAAGCTTTCATTTTCTAATCTGTACTAGAAATTTGACAGATGGAATATCACTGGTCACTAAGACTACTAATAGTAATGAAATAACACTTGTTCAGTTGGTTTTCCACGATTTTCATGTGGGTAGCACCAGATGCGACTGGTCCGCTATTGTCAGGGGAAATAATCAAACAGCCAGGCTGGTAGAACATGTCCTGACTGCTATTACTTTTGTACTGAAAATCTGGCACCATCACCCTACTACCTCCCTCCCCTCTACATTGAGAGCCAAGCTTATAAGGCCATAAAGCATACTGCTAAGAGGTTGTCTCAAGAGCATTCAGTGTAATGTAGCACTAGAAGTTGGTGATGAGTAGGTCTGTGGCGGCTTGACTCATAGGAGGGTACTTGCAGTTGGACCCTATAAGCATGTGAAGATTGTGAAGGTTGGTGAGAATGCGCGTGTGTGAATAAAAAAGGTTCTAGAAACCCAAGACAGTTGAAGAACACTGAACAATGCTATCAAATTACTACACATACTGCAGTGCCCATGACCAACAGATCTAACACTACCGAAGCCCTGAAGAAGAGGAACCCCTATAACCTGAAATGTGTTGGCTATGTTTTAGGTCATACACTAATAAAGTGATCATTGTTCTTCAACATGCTGGCGTTTCCAAGACTTTCTATTCATGCATGGAACTTCTCACTTACCTTCACAATCTTTAAAAGGGCAGACAGGTCATTCCTGCATGATAGACGGGCCTCAAAAGTCTCTTGGCAGCTTTAGAAGTACACGTATCTTCCAGGCACTCTTGATACATGAAACTAAGTGTATTGTGTCTAATTTATATGAGAATTCAATCTATGGCAAGGTAACACTTGGGAGTTTGCCTAACGCTCCTCAATGGTTAAATCCATCTGCCTAAAGAATTCTGGTCTAATAACAAAGTTGCATTTTGTTTTAAAGTCCAACTCGACCCAAAACTAATTTTTACTGGGGACAGCTGCTCATATCTCTTGAGGACTTTCATGAGATTTTACGACAGAAGATTGCGTCTCTATCACCTTCCACAAGACCATAACAGCTGTGTCACACTTCAGCTGGATTACCCAGCTATATGACTGTTCTGCATATACTCTCTAGCAGGATGCCTATATGGAGTAGACAGTGTATGCATTCCTCAGTTTGCCAGGAGATCCGCTTTTTGTACAATAGCTGAACAATGATAAGTCTTACAAACCACACTTTTAGAACTTTGTCTGGATACATGTAGAACATGTGTGAGTGCTGAAGCAGTAGAGAGAAGACTATTTACAGAGGAGACATGGACAGCACCTGAGTGGCTGTTTTAGTACTCACAATCAGTGTTTAAACAATAATGGTCAAATGGTTGGGTCAAAATACCAAGGCAGGGTGAATCATCTGAAACCACATAAGTAAATGCCAAGTTATGCTGCTTTATTTCTACAAATGCCTCTGTTGTTTTTTTTGGATACTATTTTATTCTCCCTGTCCTATTCTTCAAAGTTATGTGCTGCATTCCTCTTCTGGATGACTGATGGAAATGCTTAAAATGGGAAGCCTCTGATGTCACAGTCAGACAAGTTCATGTAAGAGGGTAATGTACCCTAAGGCCATTAACAACTTCTTCTGACAAAAGATTGCTAATGTTTTTACATCAAGGACAGTGTAAGCAGCCGTGATGCTACATATTAAAGATTATCTCAAATGAAATATAAAAATGTAATATATTGCAGCTTACCAGTTCTCAGATGAGGTGGCTGCATTTGTTTTCTTTTTCAGGATTTCCCCCCTTTATTTTTACCTGGTAATCCTGCAAATAACACACTTCCTGTCCCCGGATGGCTATTGTCACTCCTTCACTGTATCTACAGAGTAAGTCATAGTTGCCACCCAGGCTAAACTTTGTTTATATCCATTACAAGGGGTATGGGGAGATTAGTATTTTACAGCAGTTAAGATTGTTTTATTGTTCCAGTTGAGCTCACAGGCAATGACAAGGACACTGCATTTCGGGCAAGATTAACTTCTTCTGTACTTGCTAAAAATTTTCTTTATTTAAAAAAAGAAAAACAAATGCAGCTACCACATCTAAGGACTAGTAATCTTCAATATTATTACATTTTTTTGTTGTAGGATTTACTTATCTCTTAACCCAGATCAGCAAGGTAATTTTTGTTCTGACCTCTACGATATTTTCAAGCAAACCTAAAGTCTATAAGTAAACCTTGACCTTCCAATGGGTGGCCTGTAATATAGCAAAAATGTAATAGATTATTCCCAATATCAGAGTTGCTCTGAACAAACACATAAAGCTGGATCCAGGCACTACCTGGTCACAAATAGTATAGGCTGCTTCCTGCATTCCAGGTGCATTAGCCTAAACTGTTCAGCCCTACTTTTACCAGAAATAGGCATTTATTTTTAGACATGTTCTGTCATGCAACTGTGTATATAAATTGACACCTGGGATAACATTTCCACTAATGCTAGAAGAAACATAGTAAAACCTGTGCAAGGCTGGGAGATTTTATGCAAAGGGAAGGTAAATGTGTTTAGAGTTGTAGAAGAGAAACATTTGCACTGAAAGTTGCTGTGTAACTCTGAATGCAGTTTCTCTTTGCTCTGGAAATAGCATGCTCATTCTGAGTCCAAAAACAACATTTTTAGGCTAAACACTGTATTCGGACTAGGGATGTTCAGACACGAAGTACTGTACTTGGTACAGGTACAGATATTTTTCCAGCTCCAAGTCTATCAAGTACTGATACTTGTCCAAGTACTCACAGATACAAGTACCGATAAATGTTTGTTTATTGTCATAAGACAGTTTTTCTAAAACAATACAGACTACCGTATTTGCCGGCGTATAAGACGACCCCCTACTTTTTGTGTCAAAATATAGGTTTTGGGCGAGTATAGCCCAAAATAATGTGTAAATGCACTTACTAACCTCTATGGCGGTATTCCCGAGTGTGGCTCGGGGTTAATTTTCAGTACCATAAGTGGTAACCCTGAGCCACACTCGGGATTACAGTCTCTTACCTTGTCCACGATCCCCGCAGCGTCCTCCATCTTCCGTCCTTCAGCTACATACCGTATACCGCGCTGAGCCAATCACAGCAGGCTTTGTACTCATTATTCATTCAAAGCCTGCCGTGATTGGCTCAGCGCTGAGTCAATCACGGCAGGCTTTGCATTCATTAATACAGGCTTTGTATTAATGAATACAAAGCCTGCCGTGATTGGCTCAGCGCGGTATACTGTATGTAGCCGAAGCTACATACAGTATACTGAAGTATACCCGGCGTATAAGACGACCCCCGATTTTCGGGCAGTGTTTTTGGGTCTAAAAACCTGTCTTATATGCTGGCATATACGGTAATGATTTCAGGACAGTGGTGGAGCGCCAGAGCCAGGTCCCAGCTGCAACCATGGTAGTTCTCGTGAAAATGCCAAGCATTAGCACTGGTATCTGAACAGCCCTAATAAGGACATTTAACAGTAAATTACATATGTATCCGTCTTAAAGGAGAACTATGAGGCGAGTGCTTTTCACTCACCTCATAGTTCTAGCCGACCTGTGACAATGAGACTGTCACAGGTCAGCTCAGTAGATCGGGAGGTGAGCGAACACATACCGGCGTTCGCTCACCTCTTGATCCTGTCACGGCTCTCTGCCGTGACAGGGAGGGGCTGGATTCCCCCCTCCCAACTCCGATCCGCCAGCGATGACTGGCGGAACAGACGGGGGTGGGTACAGCTGGCTCCGGCTCTAGATAGGCAGAGCCAGCTGTCAGTCACGCAGCTGGGCGGATCCCGACACAATTGTCGGTATCCGCTTCAGCGTCTCAGTATACCGAGAGCAGCACCTCGCGGTATACTGCGGCGTCTCAGTATAGCGCTAGCCACAGCTCGCGCTATACTGAGCCTAGGGTGACGGGAGGACGCTAGTTTGTGTCCTCCCGCTACCCTAAGGAGAACTATGGGGCAAAGCCTTAACCCCATAGTTCTCCTTTAAAAGAAAACTGCCTCTTCAAATATACATGTAGGTTATGCTACTGAAAAAGAAATAAAGGACCACTGACTCCAGTCTTCACCCGGAGTTATGTTTCTCTGCTAAATGTTGTTTCCCACTCACCAGTCCCTACTTCACGTTCCCATCAACATAACAAAAGATTAAGAAGCCAAATTGATGCCGTTTCACTTACATGTCAATTAGTAAAAATAAATGCAAAATTAATTAACAACTCAATGGGAACTTTCTCAAAATAATTGACCGTGTACTGTACGCTAAACATGAACAAACTGCACTGGCAATGAGGAACAGTGGTGGCAATTGAAACCTCACCAAGATTTATAGATGGGTGAATCAACAAGAACGTACGTATGTCTTAGAATTAACATAAATTCGAATGAGAAACAACGCTACATTGTGAGTTTCACAAAGCAGCAATTTTCACCAAGCTGCCACTTGGAAACTGCTTGCTTACCCAAGTATTTAAAAATTTAAGAATGGTCTAAGGAGCCATATTTCACCTTATTTCCAACATCTAACCAAATTTTCATTTGAAGAACACTAATGGATGCCTTCTGCCAGCAATGTAACTATAAAACTTGGACAGGGATCAATAAAATTGTGTCCATTATATAGGAGTACTAAGTTTCATGCAAAAAGAGTGGTGCAGAATCCACACAGTTTATTCACACAGTTCAGTGCTGCTGTTGCATCTCAAGCAAAGAGTAGTCCTGATCCTTGATTTTAATTCAACAGTTGTGGAAATCACATTACCATCAAAGGCCGTGACACACTGCAGGCGAAGCAGTGTGGAGCACAGACAAGCGGCGACTCGCGGCTCTTGGCGAGCAGTGTGTCTAGCAAAGTCCGATCGCCCGCTCAGCTCGGTGGCAGCTTGCGTAGCGCAGTGTCGAGAGATAAAAAAGTTAATCTCTAGCCAATCCGAGCCAATCCGAACACGCGATTCAATGTAGGCATCACGAAGCGTCGGCAAGCAACCAGCCAATCAGATTCAGACAAAAGCGCCTGGTGAGTCCAGAAGAGACGTTTGTGTGGTATGTTCTCTTCCAGCCTAGTTCAATCCTATCCAGCTCTCAGCTATGGCACTTTTTAAATGAAATAAATACATTTATCAACGTTTAATTATCTAATGAATTATATGATATACTTAATAATATAAATAATGAAACATATT